ACCTTCTGGGATACCAATTATTCAGATGTTTGGATATTTCATGGTATCTAGTATTTCTTTTATAGTATCCTCAGTTTTCTTGGCTGTTTTCTCAGTATTTTTGATCATTTTTTTCTAGGACAAATACACTGTTTTCTTCTTCTGAGATTTGATATTCTTCATGGTCTAATCTACTTTTAACACTTCTGAGGGTGGTTTTGATTTTCTGTATTACAGTCTTCGTATCTAACAGTTCCATTTGATTCTTTTTTATGGTGTCCAATTCTTCTTTAATATCATGTCACGAAAGGACTTCCTCATCTCTTGGAGCTCAACGTCTATTTTCTCTTGCACCTCACAGAGTTTTGTTACCATAAATATTCTAAATTCTTTTTCTGACATTTCAGTAATATCCTCTAATTTTTCCCTACTTGGAGATGAGTTACAGTATTCCCTTGCTGGAGACATGCTACTTGATTCTCTTATCCTTGAGGCTCTTTTCAGATTATTTGTCATTTGGTAATGTTTTTATTTTTGGCTAACTTGTTGGAGAAGTATTCTGTGACTGTTAGCTTGTGTGTTTCCCTTACTGTCAAATAATTTGGTGCTATTTTCTCTTTTCTGCTGTGTCCTCCAGAGTAATCACAGGAGGAGTCTTGTAATCGAATTTTTGAAGGGGAATTTCACTCTTTTGCAACCATTACAGTGATTTGTAAACAATTCTCTAAAACTCACAATATTCAGGTGTTTAGTTACTATACACCTTGTCTTCTCTAGGCAGTAGGTAAGGGCTGAGCAGTAAAACAGGAAAGTAAGGTAAAAGAAAAAGAAAGTAGAAAATAGAAATAGGAAGAAGAAGCAAAAAAAAAAAAAGAAGGAAAGGAAAGAACTAGAACAAAAAAAAAACTGAAATCAAGTCACAGATAATGAAATTGGGTTAAAAATGGGAAACCGTGTGGCACACAAAATGCCCGCACAAGCAGAAGTGGAGGAGTCTGGATGCTTTTTGTTTTGACTAGCACTGGGGCCTGAAAGGGAGGGGAGACCTATATGAGGGGTGAGGGGGAACGGACTTCACAGTCATGAAGCTGAACCCAGAGGGCCAACACAGGTAGAGGTTTGTACTTTTTATTTCAATCAATGTTTTTGGATAGCTAGAAAAAAAAAAAATACAGAGACTATAGCAAATCCCAAAGCCATAAGCAAATGATGAAATCACCTTTTCTCCCATAATCTAAAATAGTTCTAAGAAGACAGCAGGTAACTGGAGTCATTTAAGGACAGGGGAAAGCTCTATGAGATCCTTTAATCATTAATTAATGAGTAATAGTAAATGATTCCTTAATAGAAATGGCCCTATTTCCTCATCTCTGTATCTCTTTGAGCCAATCATACCTGGCACAGAACCCCAAATCTGCATCTGAAGACAGTTAAAATAAAAGCCTCCACTTTCATTTCTTTCTCTTGCTGGGAATTCCCAGTATTTCTGGTCATTGACTTCCTCTATCCTGACCCATCTTCTCTCTTCTTTATTCTACCTTTCCAGAATGCTGATCACCAACATAATACTCCTCACTCCACTTTTCAACCCAGGACCTCTCATTGGAGTAAACTAAAAGGATTTGTATTCTGCAAACAAGAAAAATCTTCCTACAACAACAATAAAAAAATCTTCCAAATGTTTCCATGAGTCAATTCCTAACTATTGGTATATCTAAGGATCTTATAGTGCAAAGGAACAAAAGATTAGTCTAGCTTCAATTTACAGTTGGGAGTTATGAAAAGTCAAAGAAGTAACAAAGGTCCTAGTTTTGACCAAACCTAGCTATGCATAAACCACTCGCATGTCAAAGGCATTGTTGGTGTTGAAGGGGAGACCAAAAAACAGGTTCCCTTTATAGTGGAAATAAGAGAACTGTCTATATTGACAAAGGGAGGAGGAAGAAAATACAAGGTACACTTTTCAATGCAGAAGTCATAATAGCAATTCATAGCTATTCCGAGAAGCACACTCCATGGAGAGTGACCTTGGAGAAAGAACTGTAAGGACTATACCAGGAAGGTCAACATGTGAACTACTAACCAGCCTCGCCCTCCTGGTCAGCCTTACAAGGCTAACTCTAGACATACTCCAGAATCCACCACAACCCTCAGTGCAGGGGTAAATGCTTTTCTCACTCACAGTTCAGGATTATCTGAGACTTGGACCAACCCCAGAATGTACAAGTACAAGAAGCCTAATGTATGTCACCTGAGACAGCCTGATCTGGCTATCCTTGTGTTTTGGTGTTTGAAAAAGAAAGAGAAAACACCTTTGAGCAGAAATATGGGGGCTAGGGGGTGGGCATGTAGCTTTAAAAGGAAAAGAAGGAAGAATAATACCTTTAGTGTTTTTCTATGGTGATCTCTAGTCTTACCCCTATATAATAGACCAGTTGTCAACATTGAAATTTATACTTGAATGAAATCCACATGCAACCTTCTGCTTCAGAAAATGAACTAACAACAAAAAAGCAAATAGCAATTTGGCTCTGGATTTTTTTTCTTCCTTTTTTTTTTGACCAGAATTTCAATATAGAGTCTGAACAAAGCAGCACTTCTAAAGGCTGCACATTAAAGTGGTGGAACAAAAAACAACTTAGCACTTAAGATGAGAATTTGAATACAGATACAGTTACAGTCTAGATAAGATGCTAATAAATGATTCCATTTATTAGCTGAACACCTAAATGGGACTATTTTTAAAAGGGGAGGGAGCATTCTGACCCAGTGCCAGAGAAGTGAAACTGAACTCTTGAGCTGAGTCTACTGGAATTGAGGGACATGCCAGACAGATGGCAAGGTTTCTAGTTCCCAATATACACTCCAGTCTAAAAACCTACTTGTTTTTTGTTTGTTTGTTTGGGGTTTTTTGTTTTGGTTTTGGTTTTGGTTTTTTGGTTTTTTTTGGGGTTTTTTTGGTAAGTCTATTTGGGAATTTTTTTTAACAATACAGTAATTTATTGTATTTCTTTTTTTAACTTTTAGTTAATTAAGTTTATTTTTTTATACACTCAATCTCTATACATTGTTTAGCTTGTAAAGAGAATTTACCTAACATGAAATACACCTCAGATAGTCCAGCTGAGGATACTATATGTGTTATCATCAACAGAATAGAACTGCACTAGGAAAGATTATTAAGTAAGCAAAACCTAAAGTTGTAATAGCCTTTCCTTTGCACTTTTTCCCTCGGTGCTCCAGGACCACCCAGGGACCCAAGGTTCGCTCCACCTCTCAGTGATAATAACCAACTCACAGGAAGGATCTAGTGTTTGGTATTTATACCTTCCTTCATGTGCATTTAAGTCAATGTGTTATTTCTCTAAGAGGTTTTATATTTAAGCCTTATTTGACTTGTGGAATGTTAGAGGGGAAGAAGTATTTGGGGTACATTTTGAGTACCCTAAATGATTATCTGAGTAAATTTTAGTCCTTGTTATCATTGTTCATGTGGAGAAACAAAAGATTTCCCATTTAATTTTAAGAGTCAGAGCAGTGTCTAGACTCTTCCAGCAGGCATGTGTTCATCCTTATGCTCACCTCAGCTGAACCATAATAAGCTGCATTTCTTGAAGAAGGAACATAGAGCCTGGATGATATCCGAGGAGTATGACAATTAGCTGGTGTACAAGGAAAAGGAAAATAAAAAATCAGTGAAGTGACGTTTGCACCTGCCTGTGTGACTAAAAGGGTGTGGAGGCGGTGGATTAGAGGGGGGATACCATATCTTCCCCTCATCACCTGCAGCCTCAGTTCCTTCCCTGGTAGTCTCAAGATATAACAGTTCAGTTGAGATAAACTGAAACAGACCAACTCTGGGAAGGGAGGAGGCAACTAAACTTATTTCCAATGGTCTTATTTCCAGAGACCACTCCAGTAAGCTCTCCTTGTTGTGCCTTTTTTTTTTTTTTTTATATTGGTCTGGGTTTTTTTTATTTTTTCAATTTATGTATTTTTTATTTTTTACATATACATTCAATCTCATTATTTAGCTTACAATGTGAACATGTCAATATGTGAACATTTCTCTCCAGTCCAGTTGATCAAAATATTTTCAACCAATGACACCACACCTCCCCATCCCGTCAATGCTCTGCCTCCATATCCCTCCTCCAAATGTCCTTCTTTAGGCCCCACTCCTCCACACACACCACATCTGGCATTCACACCCATCTTTTGTGTTTGTACAACATTTAGTCCTTGTTGTGCTTTAAAACACAAATTGAGACTCATAAATAATTACAAAACCTCATTTTATTCAACTTTTTTGAGAGATGAGCCAGGTGATGTGGTGGTTAAGGTGGCTGAATTCCACATGGCCAACTACATGGTTTAAGTCCCAGACCCTGCAGCCTGAAAAACATACCAGGTTCATGTGCATGGGTACCCAGAATCCTGAGAGGAGAATGGAGGAGAAAGGATTGCAGCATGGCCATCCCTAACATGTGGTGATCTCTCACTTTCTCTCTCTCTCTCCCGCTGTCTCTCTCTTTGGTGGGCACCCATGCCCTATAGCAAAATTTTAAAAAATGGTTCTGATCTCCTTGCTCACCAATCCTTTTTAAAAATGGTAAAAATAATCCTTAGATACTTATTTCCTCTACTTAATCTCTTGAGAGGAAGGAGGACTAAATAAGCAAAGGTCTGTTAACAAGAAGGAAAAAAGAACTAGAGATCATAAATGATGACCATGATTAAAATTTAAATTACTAAAACAACGAAGTAGGCAGTTTACAAAATCCTTCCATGTTATATTATTTAAGCTTCCTGAATTTGCCAAAAGATTGTATTCACATTAAAAGAAATGTTATTCATCTTTTTTTTTTAATTTCCTCCTAAAATTTGCTAGATTTAATTTAGTAAAGCTACTGCTCAGTCCTTTGGAAACATGTGACCTACAGCTGCTTGGTTTCTTTCACCCATGGAAGAAAGATTGAGTCATCACTTACTGTCGCAATGGGTGTGACTCACAGAACGAGGAGGGCACCCAAGGACTCCTCACACATGTGAGTACTCAGAGTTCAACAGAAGCCCAGGAGCCTCAACCTCAAGAGGATCACTTTGGTCAGGGTGGCACAATTCTTCCTTCCTCCGTGCACAGCAGGGAGATTGCAATCAGTCAAGCAGGTCCACCAACAGCTTCTGTGTCCCGATTCATCTGTTATAAGGTAACTGATGACCAAATTTTGTCATTTCTTTCTTTATAGATCAAGTACTTCCAAACTTTCTTTTACCTTCCTCACTCTTGCAGAATGAATGAAGTTGTCTTTCAGGTTGTGATCAGCTGTTGCTAAATTTTGTTAATGTAATATGCCAGAAGGCAGTGATGGAGGCTGGGGTCAACTCATCACAGAAATGATCTTGGTGTGAATAAGGATCTCACCTTAAACTCCTCCATGTCTCTTACTGAGTGTCCTTTGGCATTCAAGAGTCACAATTACATTATGTCCTGTTGTTATCCTTTCTGTGCCTATGTGACACCATCTGTGAATCTTCTGATTAATGAGAAGCTGGAAAGGGAAAAGCTCTAAGAAGTGTAGAAATCTTAGATGAGCTTCTTACCAGAGCAATGGATTTGCTTCCAACTATAGGTCTGATCTGTTTGCCGACCTGTTCTACCAATGTTATTCAATGCTAGCTTATGCAAACATGCACATGTGCACACACACACAGTACTGAGTGAGAAGAACGCCTTCTAGGTCATAACGAGGCAAGGGAATTCCTGGAAGTGCACATTTAATCCCTGGATCGTGGAATGACAGCAATAAACCTGCCTCCAATATTTACTCCCCATTTTATGAACCAGTGGTTTGGAATTTCAAATGGTGATGTGACTCTCTCTCAATGACTTGAGTTTTAACAGGTGGATGCAAAGTTTAAATAAAACACATTTTTAAATTATAAATCAGTTTTAGGTTGTACAAATGGCTCTGAAATATTCTGCTATACTATTAGCCCCAGGATAAACTCTGTGTTCTCCTTTGCTTTTTATAAACTTTAAGAATTATTTATTTATTTATTTATTTATTTTTGGAGAGGTTTTTGCTATAGGGCGCATGCGCTCACCAGACAGACAGAGGGAGACAGAGACAGAAAGCAAGAAATCACCCCCCGGGGGGATGGCCACACCGCAATCCCTTCTCCTCCATTCTCCTCTCGGGATCTTGGGCACACACGCACACGCACCCGGCGTGAGTTTTAAGCCACCGGGCCCGGGACGCGAACTGTGATCAACTACATGAGAGTCCAGCAACATAGCCATTATGCTAACTGCTGGTCCCTTATTTATTTAATTTTATTTGTTATTATTAGTTTTTAATTTACCAGAGAGAAAGGGAAAGTGAGAAAGCAAGCCACAAGGTCCAGGATTTAAACCACGGTCAGCCATGTGGGAGTCCAGCACCTTAACCACTATGCCACTTGCTAGCCAAATATTGTGTTTTATTTAGTATCCCTTTGCATATATTAGGCACTCTAAAAATATTCTTAGCTAGATGCTACATGAAAGTGAAAGTTAAATATTATATCATCTTTGTCTTATATTTCTTAAAATTTGAAAAATGTACCCAATTTAATAAATTGGTATAGATACTGGATATGGTGTGGGAACAGAGTAGAAGAAGGAGAGTCTGAGAAAAGACAGTAAAGAGGAAAGTAGAGAGGCAATGCATTTATGGGACACAGAAATGTATTATTATCTGTTGATGATAATGTGTATAGTATCCCCAATTGGACTATTGTGAAATATCCATGTTGGAAAATTCCCTTTATAAGCTAAGTGATGTATAGTGATTAAATGCATAAAAGAAATTAAAATGAAATATATTATTAAAAACAATAATAAAATGAATAAATCTTTAAAAAACAATCTTACATTTCAATGTTTAAATATAATTACCTCATACATTTCAAATGGAAGAAATGGGAATTGGTTTTTAAACCCTTACAACTAATGTCGCTTTCCTAAGAACAGTGTTTAAAGCTGCTAACCTTTTCTTCTGCTCACATATACTAACTATGGGCCAGTGCAGCGTGGTGGTTAAGGCTGTGGAATCCCACATAGTAAACTGCACTGTTTGAATCCCAGACCTGGTGGCTTGAAAAGAACGCTGGGCTGGAGGTCAGCAGGTACTGTAGTGATTAAGGCATTGGATTTCCACAAGGTCAACTATGGTTTGAGTCCTGGACCGAGGTTTGAAAATCGTGTCGAGCATGTGTGCATGCATTCTCCGAATCCCTTAAAGAGCATGGAGGAGAAGGGATTGCAGCATGGCTATCTCCACCGGGTGTGATTTCTCACTTTCCCTCTCTCTGTCTTTCTCTGTTTCTCTATTCTCTGATGAGCAGATGCACCCAATGGCAAAAACCTAAGAAAAAAAGAAAAAAGAAAAATACACTGGGCATCTGTACCTGCATGCCCAAAATCTCAAAAGGAGGTAGTGATGGAGGAGAAGGGATTCCAGTATGACCATGCCCTGGGAGATGATTTCTTGCTTTCTCTCTCTCTCTGTCGAGCACATAAGTCTTCTGGCAAAATAAAACATAATAATAAAGTTAAAAACATAAAGAAAAAAGACATATGCAATTTAAAGTAATAGACTGAAAGTTGAACACACTTTTGGCATCCATATAAACATTCTGTAGTCTTTGCAGGCTTTTGTAATACACAACATACAATCTCTTCCAGTTAGAAACTTTTATTCAGCAACCATAACTAAATTAATCATGACTTGAACATTAATTGCAACCCTGCCAATACTGTCAGGAAGCATACTGGCAAAATAAGCTAAGGATAATTAATTAGAAATTATGGATGTTATGGTGAATTGTAAGTGAAAATTTTGAGTGAAGGTAAAAGAAAATTAGAGATATTTTTATCCTAAGAGCTAAAACTGCAAAATAGAAATTCAGCAGGTCTTCCCATGTAAGAGCAGGCTCGTGCACGAGGCTAGGAGGGAGAGTAGCTGTGTTCCAACAAGGATGTCCAACAGATCTGCAGAGAAAGTACGTGAGGCACTTCTGCATGCCTTGCTGTTCCACTACCCAAGGCACAATCTGGGTATAGGGTCTATCTCCTTCCTTCCAGGATGTAGGAGTCGAGGGAATTGTAACTAGTAGAGGAACTTCATCTTTTCAAGTCACGAAACATCTTTCATGACGGTGACTACCATCCCAACTAAATCATTATCAGCACCATTATTTTAATCAGACCCCAAAAGAATATCTGCTGCTTACTGCAAATACATTTCATGTAGCATACTTTGGCTCCAATTTTTAAATGTTTTCATGTTTCTAGGATCTCAAAGTGGACTTTTTTTAATAGGAGCATAATTTTTTCATTATATGAATTTGTTTGTGCCATTAGGCTCCGGGGTGCATTTAAAAAAAAAAAAAAAAGAGGAAAGAAAAATAAAATAAAGAAAGTGAATCAGAAATAAATCTCTGACAGGTCACTTGGGTTAAAAAGAAACAGAATTTTTCACTTTAATGAAAGTAAAGAGAAATTCTGTGTGAGTTAAGCAACCTCACAATATTCAAATGAACAAGTGGCATACATGTTCGGCTACTATTGGTATGAAGAAAGTTTGAATTGGGACCAATGGTGGCATGGAGGTTAAGGTGTTGGATCGCAGTTCAAGTTTCACACCAGCCAGCTTGAGAATCATATCGTGCATGTGTGCGTGTGCATGCCCAAGAGCCCAAGATGAGAGTGTGGAAAAGGGATTGCAGTGTGGCCATCTCCCCCAGGGGGTGATATGTCTCTCTCTCTCTCTCTCTCTCTCTCTCTCTCTCTTTCTCTCTCCCTCTCCCTCTCTCTCTGGCAAGCACCCTATAGCCAAAAAAGAGAGAGAGAGAGAGAATTTGTACCACAAAATTTCCCAAAAAGAGTATTTTAGAAAGCTGCGTCTGGGGCCAGCAGGTAGCATGGTGGCTAAGATGCTAGACACCCATGTGGCTGACTGCGATTTGAGTCCCAGACCCCACGGCTTGGAAATTCACTGGGCACATATGTGTACATGCCCAAAATCCCTAGAGGAGAATAGAGGAGAAGGGATTTGAGGTGTGGGCATTCCCCCCAGGGGGCGATTTCTCACTTTCCCTCTCACTGTCTTTCCAGAGAGTGCATGTACCCTATGGCAAAAACCTTGACAAAAAGTGGAAAGATCGTTTTGTTGCATTTCCCCATTCTTGTTTTTAAAATTAAGAACATATCCCAAGCCCTATAAATGGCTTGTATTGAACTTTTACATTTGAATTAAAGATTGTTAAACATAAAAAAAAAAAACCTTAACAAAAGAAAAGAAGAAGAAAAGAAAAGAAAGCTGTTGCTAAGAGCTCTCTGTTTGATGTAGTTCAGTAAACAACTGTTGTTGATCCAACTTAGGTCAGCAGTGCAACAAATTGAAAGTAAATGTTTTATAAATTCCTATCCAAGTGACTGAATAGTTAGTATCATTTTCTGAAAAGAAGCCCTTCATGGAGTTATGTGGAAATACAATCAAGTGGTCTGAGAAGACAGAGATAGAAATAACTTTACATTTCTTACTTTTAAAAAACTTCAAAATGATATTGAGACATTACTTTTTGTGGAGTCTTTTTCTGTCTTTTTTTTTAAGGAACGGAATAAAGTGCATGAGAGAAATAACATCAAAGAATCTTGCTTTAAATTTTGTACTAGGAAAATAAACCCAGGTAGAGAAGGTTAAAAGAAGCAGAAGTGAGCAATGCCTACGATTAAGTCGCAATGTTTTCCTATAGCAGCTGCCAGGCCGTACTAGTGAGCATTCTACATGGAAAATTAAAGAGAAAACCACTTCTTTCATGGTTCCTTTTGCATCCTGGTGGCATGGTGGAGATTTTTTTGAGAAAGTGTGTTTATTCCTCCTATTAGTTGATTATGTGTTCCTCTCTTTTTTGTTAATATCATTTATTATTTTTTATGCATTCAGTCATCTCTTTAGAGTTCTCTTTTCTCACAGTTTAAGAGTTTAGACAGAATTTGAGTTCTAACCATTCTCTGACAAATGAATTTACATGTGATACCCAACCTATACCAGAAATCTTATTTATTTCTTTTTTATTTGTTTATTTATTTCAGTTGCCTGAAGGTGCATGCATGTGCCAGGGAGAGACAGAGAGAGAAAGGGAGAGAGAAAACACCCCTCAGTGAGGTGTGCTCATGATGCGATCCCTTCTCCATCCCTCCATCCTTTCAGGATTCGAGAGTCTCTCTCTCTCTCTCTCTCACACACACACACACACACACACATATACATATACACATACACACATGCACCCAGCATGTTTTTCAAACTGTCAAGACTGAAATTCAGGGACCAACAGTTAGCGTAATGGCTATGTCGCTGGACTCACATGTAGTCAACTGCGGTTCAAGTCCTGGACCCGGTGGCTTAAAACTCATGCTGGGTGCGTGTGCATGCATGCCCAAGATCCCAAGAGGAGAATGGATGAGATTGCGGCGTGACCATCCCCCCTGGGGGGTGATTTCTCGCTTTCTGTCTCTCTGTCTCTCTCTGTCTGTCTGGCGAGCGCACACGCCCTATAGCAAAAACCAAAAAAAAAAAAAGACTGAAATTCAAACATTGTCCATGTAAGAGCTGGTTCACTTAGCCACAAGCCACAGGACTGAACTGACCAGAAATCTTGGGCAATTAAATGAGATGCATATTACATGAACACTTCTCAAAATATTTTAGTTATCTAAATTGGAAGTATGAATATTATGTTATTATAATAATTATTATCTCTTTGCCCTGATGATCCAGCATGCTTTAAGACTATCACCAAGGGAGCTTCTTTCTTCACTCTTTTTCTTCCTCCTTCCCTGCCACAGCATTTATTGAACATTAACTGAATGAATGCCAAGTGTTATACGAAGCATTGATGAGGAGAAGTTGTCTGGGTGGCCCAGAATTCCATCGCAGTTGAAATAAAGATGGCAGTGACAGAACCAGAGCGGCCTGGTATCAGTTCCAGAATCACCAGTACAATTTTATCTTGAGCCAATTAACTGCATTTTTAATTTGTCTCCTGCTCCATGAGCTGGAGATAATTTTACTGTAAGGTTTAAATGAGATCAATATGTATAGGTCCCAGCAGAGGGCCTAGAACATGGTAAGCACTCAATTACCATAGCAGTCACTATCATTTCTACCTGACTGGTCAGCCAGGAATCTGAGGACCATAACTTTTCCAGGAGCATATTATGAATTCTGTAGCAAACAGACCACACACCTGAAGGGTATCTCCAGAAGAAGCTATCGTGGCCCCAACACAAATGGCTCAGCCAGAATTCAGGCCTCACAGGTACTAGGAATGCTAATTCGATCATTTCTAAAATTACAAATGGTGTCATTCATAAATTTCACTTTGTTCACTGTGTCCCAACCTTCTGATGACAAAAAAAAAAAAAAAAAGCCTTTAAAAAAATAATGGAAATAAATGCTTGTAGCATTGGGATATGAGTAATTCCCTATAATTGTGTTAAGTCATTTAAAAAAAAACAGTTTTCGATGTGGCATTACTAAAGAATCAATGACTGAGCTTCTGTAAAAGTAGTTCTAGATGCTGAGAATTTCTAGACCTCCAAGACAAGGAAGCTTTAGACAGTTTTTCTTTATCTTTTTTTTTAAGAATTTATTTATTTAATTTCAATTGTTATTATTATTATTTTCTAATTTGACCAGAGAAAGAGAGAGAAAGGGAAAGTGCCAAAGCAAGCTGTCAGGTCCAGGACTCAAATGGTAGTCAGCTATGTGGGAATCCAGCACCTTTAGCCACCACGCCACCTGCCAGCCCCTAGACAGTGATCCTTAATTGGGGGCAATTTTGTCCAATAAAGGACATTTGACAATGTCTGGAGATGTTTTTATTTGTCACAACTGAGGAACAGTTGCATTAAGTGGTAAGGGGTGCTGCTGTCTCTATTTTATGAATAGGAAAATGAAGGCTCTGGAAAGAACTAATTTGCCAAGGGCCCTCTGATGATAGAAAAACTGGGATTGAACTACTGCCTGCCTGCTTCTGAGGTCTGGGATCCTAGTCACTGCCCTGTTGCTTTGAGTCAAGAGATCTGTACTTATACTAAGGAAATGGTTGTGAAAGAAATTGGAAGACTACAAACAACTCAAGCAGCAAATGTCAGTACCCTCGGTCTGAATCGTTGATACCAAGGAGCCATGTGGGGGTCACTGCTGGCCACTGCCGGCAGAGAAGGGTTGAGGCAACCATATAGTTGCTGTTACTCATTTACTTCTCAGAGGTCAATGAACCAATTGCCCCTCAACCAGCTTCTGTGTACAGGTCATGTTTGCAATGGTTCTGACTACTACCGCCCTTTAGAGGTGGTACCTTGTCTTAAATACTACTAGAGATCAGGGATACGTGTTGGTTTGTGGCTGGCTTAGAGGAATGTGAACCTCAGGTGTTGAAGAAGAACCAGCATTTTTGGACAATAATGTTTATGGCCAGGACAGGATTTGCAGAACTCAAAGTCAGGGCTAGTAGTCCCTAGACTTCAGACTACAGGCTGGAACATTATCTGAAATGACCTTCAGCCCAGGGGTACCCACTAAGGACAACACACTGAATGTGCACCCATCCTTAACAACTATAAAGCTCCTCTAGGTGCTTGTCACCAGGAGAAAACGGGTTTGATTAGGAGAAGAGCTGGTAGAAGGGAAAGTGGAAAAGACAAGAAGGAAAGAGGGATGCTTAGGTATGAGTTTTGTCTTTCTCTAGTGGTTGTAAGGGTAAACATGCCAAAGAACAGAGGGCTGACAACTGGGTGTCCAAAGTGACTAAACTCCAAAATCCTGAAATCCTTACCATTTTTATACATGGAACCCGAGATAGTCCAATGAAGACTTCTGGGGATTTATTTCCCTTGCAAAATTTTAACTTTCTATTTTGAAATAATTTTAAACTTACAGAAAAGCTGAAAGAATAGTACAGCCAGATTCCAAAATCCATGTTTTATACCACATTTGCATTCTTATTCTCTATTTACATATAAGTGTGTGTGGTTTTAGTATGTTTATTTATATATACATTGTTATTATGCTCTGTACTATTTGAAAGTGGGTTGAAGACATGGTACCCCTTGATCTTTAAATACTCCAGAGTTATATTCCTTATTAGGGAAATAAAGATTTACAAATACAGAAAGTATAGTCTAGAAGTAAATGCACCAAAATATTGAGTCAGATGTGATAATCATTATCGTCTTTAATTTCTTTTTGTATTTGTCTTTCTAGAACATAAGTTACTTTTTTAAAAAGGTTTTCACCATAGGGCAAGTGCACTAACTAGAGAGAGACAGAGAGAGGGAAAGTGAGAAATTACCCCCTCCCCTGTCACCCCCAAGAGGGATGGCCTGCCACAATCCCTTTTCCACCATTCTCCCCTCGGGATTTTGGACATATATACACAAACATACCCAGTGTGATTTTCAAGCTCCCAGATCTGGGACTTGAACCATGGCCAACCATGTGGGAGTCCATCACCTTAGCCACCATGCCACGCACTGCACTCCCACATGGCCAATGGCAGTTCTCTCTCTCATTCTCTCTCTCTCTCCCTCCTCTGATGAGTGGATATGTTCTATAGCACATTAAAAAATAATAGTAATAACAATAACTTAAATGAAATAGTTTGTTTAAGAAAAAAATGAATAGTTGTAAAAAGGGGCTCAAAAGAAAAATCAGGAAATAATTCTAAAAGAAAGTCTAGATTTTGTAATATTACTTAGCCTTGCAGCTCCTTCTTGATCACAGTGTCCACAAACAGCCATGATTCCAAAAACATCCGCAAGGTCTCCACTTCAACATGGGGCCTATTGATTGTCTCTTTGAGGCACTCAAAGCCCCTCTTGATTCTAACGTGAGTCTTAATCAAAGGCATAGATATTGTATAAGCACAGGAGGAAACTTTTAGTCATGAAAAAGGGAAGGAAACGAGGTCTTTTCCACATGTGCTGTTCTTTGGCCTCTCCTCCTTCATAGGCCTGGAGAGTCAATGCAGGCACCAGGCTGCTCCTACGTGGGCAGAGCGCTGATAGCCCTCCTAACTCGCAGTCACTTTTCCTAGGACTATGAGTTAGGAGGGCTTGGCCTCTGCAGATGCTCTTAGGTCTTGTTCACTTCTCCCTCCTGGATGGATTAGTCTTCTCTGAGCCCCCAGCATCCCACGTTAAGAGTGATATGTGCTGAGTGGAAATACAGGTTCAGGATTCCAAGGAAATGACAAAGGAGCTCTCGACCTGTTCGATTTTAAGCCATAGGCTGCCTCTAGCTGACAAAATTAATTTTTCACGTGGCTCTGCTGCATTGTGGTCAATGCCTCAATTTTACAATATAAATCTACTTTACTTTATACATGTGTTTTGTTTTCCTTTTAGTTTTTCTCATAAGGGGCTGGTATCCCTAGAGAATAGAATTTGAGGATTAGGGGTTTGGGTTTCAGATATGGTCATTTGACTGGCATTTCTCTCTTGACCTCTTTCCATTCATCTTACCTTTCTTGGTAAACTCACTGGTAGCTACTTTAATACTCTCTGCATTGAGTTGTAATGATCTCAGAGTTGGGTTGAAGGTCAACATTAACCTATTTAAAATAAGAAAATGAAAAGCAAGTTTGGAATATTTTCTTAGTAGCAACCTCAGAATGCTCCCCTTTTCCTCACAGTCTGAGAGAAAAATTAAAATTGAACTATACATTCTAATAGATGCTGAGGTTATTCTGCTCTTGAATTTCACTAAGTAGGAAGAGGTAAGATTTTACCATGAGAATCTTTTAAATAGATGAATCCACATGTAGTACAAATGTTATCACTCCACACAACTCCTGTTACCCACAGCAACCCAATGACTCGTGTCCACTTTGCTATGGTTCCTTCCTTTCTCTCTTCCATTTAATTATTCTGGATACTTTTAGTTAGTTTTTAAACTACTTTAGAGGATTGGTTTATAATTTAAGTGGTCATCTTCCCAACAAATAACCAAATAAATTTTGTTTGGATTTTTTATCTATCTACTAAAATGCATTAAAATACATTAAGCTCATCAATCCTGGGTTATAAGCTTCAGTGTTCTGATTTGAATTTTCTTTCTAATTTTGAACACTCAGGACATCATCTTCCTTTATTGTGTGAGAAAGGAGTGAGAGTCCCTGTCACAAGGAAAAAATGCTCTTTTTGATGTTAGTCCTCCTACTCTTCTGTGGTTTTCTGTGGAAGTATAAAGGACAACTAAAGATTACAGATATCACTGATAAGTATATTTTCATCACTGGGTGCGACAGCGGCTTTGGAAACTTGGCAGCCAGAACTTTTGATAAAAAAGGATTTCGTGTAATTGCTGCCTGTCTGACTGAATCAGGAGCAATAGCTTTAAAGGCGGAAACCTCAGAGAGGCTTCGCCCCGTGCTTCTGGATGTAACTGACCCAGAGAACGTCAAGAGAACTGCCCAGTGGGTGAAGAACCATGTTGGAGAAAAAGGTGAGAGGCTTGGAAGCAGGGAAGATGGGTAGCGGGTAGGGAAGTTAACTAAAGCAAAATAAAATGTGCTCAGGTTTTAGATGGCCTTTCAAGAAAATATCTCATGAATACCAGCTGTGTCCTTCTCTAAGGATAGCTTCTAAGTCATTCATTGCAAGTTGCAGAATTTTTGTGTGCATGAGAGACACAGCCCACAGCATAAGCTGCTCATTCTTTTTCTTTTTTTTTTTTCTTTTGGAGAGGTTTTTGCTATAGGGCACGTGTGCTCGCAAGAAAGACAGACAGACAGAAAGCGAGAAACCACCCCCCAGGGAGGATGGCCATGGTCATGCCGCAATCCCTTTGCCTCCATTCTCCTCTCAGGATCTTGGGCACGCATGCACACGTGCCCGGCATGAGTTTAAGCCACCGGGTCTGGGGAGTTCAGCGACATATTCATTACACTAACTGCTGGTCCCCATAAGCTCATTCTTGAATCCTGGTAGGCAAAATAGAAGGGAGATGAAGATACTGACTTTTTCTACTCTTCTCTCCCATGAAAAGTTATTTCACCTACATACACAGCAAGGGAACTTGAGGCTAAAATTTACAGGAGACTGTGGGAGCAGTTCCCAAATTGCCATATGGATACCTTGGATCCACTTCTCAAGCAAAATGGAGTTCACGGAGTTCACACATTTTCAGTAGGCAGTTAGAAAATGAAAAGTAACAAGCATCTTAGTCGTGGAGTAGTAAGCCACTGGACACTCATTCTGCAGTAGCTTCTGCTAAGAGGAAGCATTCTGAATCAGAAGATTTTCACCGGTCTTGAATAAAGTTTGGAATAGTCTCATGGGTGAAGATATTGTGACCCACAAAGGAGAAAAACAAATGTATGTGTGTGTGATTTTCTATATCACACCTTCATCATATAGTTGAGACTAGAAAGCTCAAAAGTAATGATTTAATTTGGTTCCATGCAAAATTCAATGCTTAAATTCCAATATCTATAACAATATTGAACATTTCCCAAAAATAAGTGTGAAGTTGATTTATTTTACTTCCTGTCCATATATGTATATAGTCTCTGGTTTTGCCATCTAGCAAGGAAGGAAACTAGACAATTTACATCTGAAATTAAAAACCAGGAAGTCTCACTCAGAAAGTACCAGTATTTGATACTTAGAACCAGAAATAAAATAACAATGAGATTGAATTCCATTAATAGAATTTCAGTGATATATTTCAATTTAGCCTCTCATTCTCTTTGCTATCAGTTCCCAAAACCACAAAGTATTTCAAAGCAGGAATATGACTACAAAGAAACAATGACACCAGTGCAGAAAGCAGGAGCTGTTTGTCTATCAAGAATGCCACCTAAGTGTCATTTTCTACCATACCTCCTATCCTTTCTCTGTTTCAGGTCTTTGGGGTCTGATCAATAATGCTGGTGTTCTTGGTGTGCTGGCTCCCACTGACTGGTTGACAGTGGAGGACTACAGAGAACCTATTGAAGTGAACTTGTTTGGACTCATCAATGTGACATTGCATATGCTTCCCTTGGTCAAAAAAGCCCAAGGGAGAGTTGTCAATGTCTCTAGTATTGGAGGTCGGCTTGCATTTGGTGGAGGGGGCTACTATCCGTCCAAATATGCAGTGGAAGGCTTCAATGACAGCTTAAGGTAAAGCAAATAGATGTTTCATTAAGAAATCATAGCTGCTAATGTTTATTGAATGCTTCTTATTATTCCCAATGTATAAATGCTACCTCTGAAACTATGAGAAATTAGTTTGTCCAAGGTAGCCCAGCTGATAAGTGGTAGAATGAGATTTCAACCCAAGTCTATCTAACTCTTTTCTTCTCTTCTTCTTCTTCTTTTCTTCTTCTTTTTCTTCTTCTTCTTTTCTTCTTCTTATTTCTTTCTTTTTTTTTTTAAAGACAGGATCTCACCATGTCATGATCCCCTTACCTCAAGTAGCTGGGGCTGCAAGCATCAATACCATGCACAACTCTTTCAGATGGGGTCTTGCTGTGTTGCCCAGTTTGATTCTCCTATTAAAAAAAAAAAAAAGCACACAAATAATATTGAGACAATACTTCCAAAATATTAGTGAGTATTTGGATTACCTGGAAATCTCATTAAACTGTAGATTTTGATGGAGTAGGTCTGGGGTGGGGCTTAATATTCTCTAGTTGTAAAGAGCTCTCAGATGCTGCTCATGGTTTAGAGATTGCACTTTGAGCAGCAAAATTATGAAGAATGTCCCTTGCTATGGTGTCTTTTTGGTTGGCCTTTGGTTCCATTCCCACAAGCAACAACATCATAATAAAATTTTAGTACAGATAGAGATTTACTCACTTGTTAAAAGATATTTCAGTTGAAGAGTTTGTAGGATTTGCAATGTAACTCTACTATTCCTTGACGGTAATCAGTACTGTTTATTTCTTTATGAATGATGGAACTAATGTTTGGAATCACATTAAGCAAACAAGCCAGTCTAGTGACAGCCCAGAATTTCTACCTATAGGAGAGTTTAGAGGCAGCAATTTGGTTGAGAGAGGGTTAGGGCTCTTTAAAGGTGTATTTTTTCCCAATAAGCATACTAATTTCCTATTGGTTTTACTTACCTGGTAAGTCTAGTTGGGTGGCTTGATGCCAATTGTGCCTAGATTGTATGTTATTTTCATGAGTGGGTGAGGAAATAAGTCTTCTCAAATGCCCTCTTGGCATTACTACTTATGAGATCCAAAGGTAATTGAATAACAAGAGAATAAAATATATTTAAGTTGGAAAACAACATTTTTTATTTGAACACAAGTTACATACTTTTCAAAATCTTCTCAGGTCAAGCTAAAGAGAGTTAATAAACTGCTGACCTTTTCTTGCTTTTCTTCCCAGCCCAGGCCATGAGAGACAGCCTCTTTACCAGTGTGTGTTGTCTGCATGGCCCCGTCAAATTCATATTCTTAGTAAAAACAAATTTCAAACTATACAATAGTTATATTTCTAGACAGAAGAATTTGAAATTAACAAAAACACATTTTAAATTTACTAATAGAACTTGTTTTAAAAAGTCATATGACAAAGATGTCTGTAAAATTAATAATTGCTTCCTTACACAGTCCTGGTGGAAATATAAATTAAATTTAAGAAATGATTATTCATGCACTGGTTTACAATACACTGCATTTACATTTACAATGCATTGGTTTACATTAAGGAACAAGACATCATAATTCCTCTAAAACTTTATGCCCAGTAAATGAGTAGACTTTTGGTTTTCTACAATGACATCATTATAAAGCTTGTTCAGCCGCATAGGGAGCAGGTTAGTCATATCAAAAATTGTCACACTGTGTCCTTCAGCATATACTCATTTGTGCTGCAATATCCTCATATTCCTTCCATGGAGATAAACGTGTCTATCCAGGCCAGTCATTAGTCTATTTCCACATAAGTACGTTGATTACTGAGAAGAAACCTGTGTCAACTCAAATGCTCATCAATTTAATAACAAGAGCATGGCCTAGCAAGAATAATAATGGGTTGGGAGTGGGTCTACCTATATCCCTTTCCTGTTGCCATTAACCAGCATTCACTTGTTCACTCCTGAGCTTCATTTTCTTCATCTTCAAAAATGAGAGTAGGACAAACTAATTTTTTCTGAAGCCCTCACTTCGGTGATTTCATTAAAAGAAATCAGTGGGAAAACAGTTACCCAAACAACAAATATTCCCCAAATAAAATAGATTAAACATCCTCCATGGATTCTTTTCACAGACGGGACATGAAAGCTTTTGGTGTGCATGTCTCATGCATTGAACCAGGATTATTCAAAACGAAACTGTCAGATCCAACAAAGACAACGGAAAAAAAACTCGCCATTTGGAAGCAACTGTCTCCAGATATCAAACAACAATATGGAGAAAGTTACATTGAAAAAAGTGAGTTTCGGGGATGGGCCCAGTGTTCTTTGTGATTCTTCGTCCTAGGTAGCATAAAGGAGACTTAAACACAAATGAAAAATAAGGTTTTAAAAATAATATACCAATAGGAATCTTAAATATGGATTAGGGATTTCTACTAGTTCCAGTATCATTTCTTGCTTCTCTCAGTGTTTATAAACCTATTGCATGTTTACTATGTGCCAAGTTCTATGCACACACCTTATGAGTTATATTATTTGCTCAAAAAGAACTTCTGGAGTAGCGAGTAAAGGCTTGAAAATGTGAAATGTCCTACCCAAGGTTATATGACTCTTCCTGGTCATTCCAGGACCTGAGCCCAGGTAGGTTGACTGAAGACCATGGTCTTCATCTCCACACTTCTCTCTTTCTGTTGAATCCCAACCACTAATTCAGCATCGTTCAAGAATTTATGGAGGTTATCAAAGATAGAGAAGACTTGTATTCTGACCCCTAATTAGCTTATAATGTAGTTGGCAACAAAAAGTATCCCAGTGAGACTGTAAAACAATGAGACTATACAGCATGCAACAAAATTGATCCTCTTAGATATAACCCAACAGACCAGAGATGGTGCTAGATAGTGTGATTCTAATTTCTGAAGGAATTCAAACCAGGAAAAGATGCCTTAATGAGACAGCACTGATATGAATAAGTCCTAAAAGACAAGAGGAATTATTTGGTTGAAAACTTTCTGGAGCAGGAAAACAAGAAGCAGGATGTAGGAAGAGAGGTGGCATAAGTCAAAATATTTAGTCAAAGATGGAAGAAATGAGAATTACATAGTGATGACTAACACATAGTGAACATTTACTAGACAGTTGTCACCATTCTAAGTGCTTTACATGAGCTCTTTCATTCAAAATCCTTAAATAAACTCCACAAACTACATGTTACTATCACCTTCATTTTAATAGAAATAGAAGCATAAAGCAGTAACTTAATCCAAACCACACAACTAATTAGTGAAAGAGCTAGCTTTGAACCTAGGAATCCTGACTCCACCATTTATTCCTGGCCACTGTACTATAATTTGCCCAAGGAATTAAGGACTTTAGACAAACCAGGGACCTTTATATAAGGGCATCCTTGCCACTTCAAACTTCCTCAGTGTGTTAAAGTTTACTTGATATTTTGTAAACATTTAGGAAGCACCTGCCTAAGTTGAATAGAGTCCCACCTATGTGTCCTCTATCCCTCCAAACTCTGACCCTGCCTCTTTGTCAGTGGACTTGGTAAGACAGTCAACCATTGCAAGGTTCAAGGTCAGGAGTTTTCAATGTGGAAAACAGCCAAGTAAGAACCCCTGGGGAGGTTTTTAAAATGATTGACCCATACTGAGTCCCACCCACTCCAATACATACACACACAGGCACGCACGGTATACGTATTTATCAACTAGAATGTCTGGTTTGACAAGCCTCTCAGAGCTGGTATGTCACTGTTGGTCTAGAACCACTGCTGTTGAATGCTCTATTTTTTACTAACTCTGAAGGCTCTATTTAGTTTCAGTCTAAGATTGAACTTAACCCTTAAGACTTAATACTTCAGAAAAAAAAAAGCCCTCATTTAAAAGAGCTTTCTCTGTTTTATATCGACATTGACACTTTTTAAATGTCTATGATTATGCCTATGTTTATATCCTCAGTTTCCATCTCAAATTATTTACTTGGTTCCTGGTTCAGGTGTTCTTTCTCAGAAATACCAGAAGGCATTGAGCCCTGTTTTATACTGGTTATTCTTATTAGAGTTTTCCAAGAAAGGGCTTGAAGGTCAGCTGAACTCACAATCTCAAAATAAACCACACAATTAAGGTCACTTTCTTCATTTTCCAGACTGGGGTAGGGGTTTTAAATAACCACTAAGACTTAGTTTCTTTGAACAATTTATGGCTAGTGTTGCCTGAAGTTGAAACAAAGATTTAAAATCACAGATTTTCCCTTGAGAAGACACAACTCAGATATGTTCTTTTTAAAAGAATTATTTTATTTAACTTTATTTATTTATTTTATTTTGACCAAAGAGGGACAGAGATAGAGAGAGAAAGAGACAGATAAAGCAAGCCACCAGGTCCAGGACTCGAACCATGATTGGCTATGCGGGAGATATGTTTTAAGAGCATGTGCTTCTAATTTGAATTTTTGAGCAACCTCGTGCTGTTTTCTATGACTGTACTAATTTATATTCCTATCAACAGTGTACATGGGTTACTTTTTTTTCTCATTTTCATTAACACTTATTATATTTTTGTCTTTTTAATGATAGCCATTCTAATAAATGTGAGATAATAAGGCTATCATGAGATAAATTTTCATTTTCCTGATGATAGTGATGTTAAGTATTTTTTTCTTATATACTTTTGACCATTTGACATCTCTTCTTTTGAGATGTCTATTTAGATCCATTTCCCATTCTTTAAGCACATTATTTCTTTTATTACTATTGAATTGAGTTCCTTATATATTTTGAATATTAATCCTTTCTCAGATGTATAATTTGCATGTATTTTCTCCCATTCAATAATTTGTCTCTCTACATATCTGTTTCCTTTGCTCAGCAGAAGCATTTCATTAATCTATTTTTACTTTTATTGGCCATACTTTTGGGGTCATATCTAAAAAATACTATTGCCTTGACCAATGTCAGAAAGGGTTTTCCCTATGTTTTCTTCTAGTAGTTTTAGAGTTTCAGTCTTACATTTAAGTCTTTAATCTATTTTGAGTTCATCTTTTTATATTGTTTGAGATAAGACTGTGGTATGTGGATATTCAAGTGTCCCAATACCATCCATTGAAGTGACAGGGGCTCCAAACTTTTATTTATTTATTTATTTATTTATTTATTTATTTATTTATTTATTTATGAGAGAGATTTTCCCTTAAGGTATTTGTGCTCACCAGAGAGACAGAAAGTGAGAAATGTGTGTTCCCCAGGGGGAATGAACACACAACAATACTTTCTCCTCCATTCTCCTCTCAGGATTTTGAGCATGCACGTATATGCACCCAGCATGAGGTTTAAGCCACCTGGTCCAGGATATGAATCATGGTTGACTATGTGGGAGTCCAGCAACATAACCATTATGCCATCTGCTGGTCCCAAGGGCTCCAAACAATTATTAATCCCTTATAAAATTTCTGCCTACTAAAGATATCTTAGCTCATTACTCAAATACTTCATATGCCTGAAAAATGGAATGTTTTTAGCTTCTTGAGTCAGAGCATTTGGGAATGATTCTCTATTCATGGAATTATAGAGGCGTATGGCTTAAGAGTACATCTCAAACCCACAGCGCATGCATATATATGCACACTCATGCCCGTGCATATGTGCACACCTGCATTTCCTATAAATGCGGTACTCCTCTGAAACAAGTTAGGAATTGAACTCATAACTTCCTAGACTCAGGGGCCTCATAGGCTTTATGAAATCCTTTTCCCTCATTACTTTGAAGTTTGGTCCCTGTACCAACAGCATCAGCATCACCAGAAACGTGTTAGAAATGCAAATTCTTGGGCCCTACCTCACACTGAGTCAGAAATCCTGGAGATGGACTCAAACTATGGGGTTTTAATTAGTCCTCTAGAATACTCTGCTGCCCATCTAAGTTTGAGAGCCAATTGTCTGCTGCAATATTTTCTGAAGAATAGATAGAAGAGCATCACAACAAGCCTCAATTATAATCATGAATTCAAAATAAATTTCCTCCCATTCATCTTCCTCCTTCATGTTAGCCCACACTCTGTTTTTCTCCATCTTCAAAAGAGTAAATGTGCTTTTGTCTCTTTTTATAGGTGTAGACAAACTAAAAGGCACTACCTCCTTCATGAATATGGATCTTTCTCTGGTGGTAAAGTGCATGGACCATGCACTAACAAGTCTCTTCCCTAAAACACGCTATGTTGCTGGAAAAGATGCCAAGACTTTCTGGATACCTCTGTCTCACATGCCAGCAGTTTTGCAAGACTTTTTATTGTTGAAACAGAAAGTAGAATTGGCTAATCCCAAAGCAGTGTGATTCAGCCGACCACAAATGCTGGCCCCAGGCTATGAGATTCACTGCTTTTGCTTCCAGGGACAAGTATTTTCAATTGCATTCCTTCCTGAATCCAACCTGTACTCATTAGATCAAGCTCCTTTTAGTGTAAGGGGATGACTATCACTGGCAATGTCCCATAGTTTCTTCTCGAGGCATTTTTAGAAAAGAAGACAGGGATGACATGTCACATAGGCAAGTCCCGTCCAATATTTAGACTACCTGCTTGGTATGATGTAAGGGAAATTGAACAACTTGCTCATGCAAAATGATCTCCACCACAGCCCGCTCTGTGCTATAGTCCCCAACATTTAGAGTGACTCCTGCCTGTAAAACATTGTCTCATTTCAAGATACTGAGACAAGTAAATACTTTCCTAACTGGATTAGACACATTCAGTTGTCTTGCTGAGGATAAGATGCTGACGAACTGGAACTTAGTTCTGGTAAGCTCTGATACGATGAAGAAAAGAAAGGATAATGAAGAATTGTGTGATCCTGATACAAGTTTAACAATCATCAGAAAAAGACAAGGTAGAACTGTAAGTAGAAGGGAAGAAAAAGAAAAAGAGGAAAAAGAATAAGAGTACTACATAAAAGAATACATACCTAACAGTTTCCTGGTGGAAACATGGTTATAATATAGAGTAATATAATAATCAGTCATCCCAAGAGAAGAGAAATAGTATATATTTATATTGGTAATTACAAAAACACCAAGATCCAGAGTATCTGGCACAATTTATACCTGCAATGGTTGGAAATCTTATATTTGAGGTGTCTCTGAAGCCCCATAAAGACAGAGAGCTAAATTAAAGTTTGCTTTATGTAAAATAAATGAACAGAAGTGGGACGAGTAGATGGCATAATGGTTACATTGCTAGATTCCCACAGGGCCCACTGCAGTTTGCGTCCCAGACCTGGAGGCTTAAAACTCAGGCCAGGCACGTATGCATGAGTGCCCCAAATCCCGAAATTGGAAGAAAGAAAAGGAGTTGCGGTGTGGCCATTCCATCTGGAGAGTGATTTCTCACTTTCTGTCTCTGGTGAGTGTACACTCCTTGTAGCAAAAATCTCTCTTAAAAAAAAATGAACAGGAACCAGCAGCTAGCATAATGGTTATGTCACTGGACTCCCACGTAGTTGACTGTGGTTCGAGTCCCGGACCCGGTGGCTTAAACTCATGCCAGGTGCATGTGCATGCGTGCCCAAGATCCCAAGAGGAGAATGGAGGAGAAGGGATTGCAGAGTGGCCATCCCCCCTGGGGGGTGACTTCTTGCTTTCTGTCTCTCTGTCTCTCTCTGTCTTTCTGGTGAGCGCACGCACCCTATAGCAAAAACCTCTCAAAAAAAAAAAAAAATGGACAGAAGGTTATGCTTACCAGCAATATTTGAGAATACCAATTTCCCTGAAGATCTGCCAAAACATAATGTTGTAACTTACCAAAATATTTATTTTTATTTGAATAAACAAAAATTATTCTCAAGAAAATAAAAACAAAAGACTCACTTGGTTACAGTGAGACCAAATCTGTGTCTTGTTCATATTCAGTCTGCTAAACTGGATTGACCCTGGACCCACATCCCATCCAAAATAAACAGTTCCCTAAAAGATATTCCCCAGATTTCAGCAGCCAGTACCCTCAAAGAATGTTTGTTAAATACTTACATGAAGAAGCCCGGAGTGGCAGAATTCAGCATTTCTTTTTGTTTCCAGAATAATAAATATGATATATAAAAAATGAGGAATCATCTAGTATATTTGTGCACGCATGTATACACACACTTTACTTATTACGAAGAAAAAATGTAATCTATTGCTTGCAGCCATGTCTATTTGAAGTATCAGTAATTCGGTTCATTTCATTTACCTTTCTGGAAACAACTGTTTATGAGGAAATTTCCTCCTTTCATGTCTACAATATATTGATGTCCAAAAAATTAAATTACCAAAGGTATCGGTCCACCTGGACATGTTTCATAATTTTGAAGGAAGTCCTGTTCATCCTTTTTGCATCAAAATGGAAAAAAAAAATCATAGCAAGAATCAGAAGAATTTTCAGGCAAAGTTAACTAACCTACCGTTACTACCTCTAATTCTTGTGAAGTCATCCCATCATGGCTTTGCCTTCACCTTTGTTCTCTGGATTCTTCTGGTTGCAGTTAACCGCATCACAGCCTTTCCTGGGAACCAAAGTTCTCCGGGTGTTGTTTTCTGGAAGCCCTCCTTCTCACCTTGACTTCCCAGAACTTGGCTTCATTTCCTTACTTTATGGCAGTGGATGTGTGGAATGTGGAATTTGACTCCCTGACTTTCAGATCTCCTAGGGCTCCCAAGATGTTAGAATCTGAAAGAACTTTTTGTGTTGAACTTCTAACCATTTCAGTCACATTGTTAGGCCTATTTAATTGTGTTCATGAATTTTTGCATGTTGAAAAGGAGACAAATTGGATTGGTATTCATAATACTTACTATCTTCCTGATTTCTATGATTCATTTTAAAAAAGAAAATATAAAAAGTTTCCATTCTAGTATATGAGGCACTAAAATAGGCACCTACCCAAGAAATAACTATATCATAGCCTTGCCTGATTAATCCCCGAAAATAGGGAAAACAGCACTTGGGGCTGAAATAGGTCAGGCAGGAACAATAAATACAACACTCTGGAGCCAGCAGGTGGCATGGAGCGTAAGGTGGTTGGATTCCACGAAGTTAACCATGCTTGTCCTGGCAGCTTTCAAATTGCACCAGACACATGTTTGTGCCCAAAATCCCTAGAGGAGAATAAAGAGAAGGAATTGAGATGTAGCCATCCCCCCGGGGGATGATTTCTCACTTTCTGTCTCTTTCTCCTTCTCTCCAGCAAGCACACATGCCCTACAACAAAAGGTGGGGGGGGGGGACTCTACCTCATTCTACAACCAGTGACTGCCCTGAACAGTCTCATTTCAGTCCCTTTTGAAAAACTAGAGGCAGAAAGACTGAAAAGATTCTACCACTTAAGTTCTGGACAAAGCCATCCAGTGCCATACATAGGTAAAAGATTTCTTTTCAGTCTTTCAACTATAGCTTGAGTATGACGCCACCCAATGAATGATAGTACTTAGTTATGAACCAGGTTATCCAAACAAGCTGGCTTCCCAGGTATGCCAGGAATAATCATAGTAATGGCTATTTACTTAAATACTTAGTATACGTCAGGTTCTTAATACGCTTCATGTTATGTAAATGTTTTCAGCTAACTCTAACATCTCACTTAGATATGCCTTCAGGAAATGGAGGAAAAAAGTCACAGAGAGGTGATCGATTTGCCCAAGGTTTTACTGCTAGTATGTGCAGACCAGTTTTCAACCTCGGCAGCCCGAAGCCCAAGCCCATGCCCAGGACCGCTGTACTGTATTAGCCAAACACTCCTACAGAGTGTTTTTCTAAACTTTCGTTTGGGTTCTACAAAAACCAAACTTCTATTAAATTAATATAACACTAGTCTTGCCTAGCTAGTCATAATTATACATAAGAGTGATGCATAATTTCAAGTAATATATATATAAAGATATACCTTTTTCATTTTTCTATATTTTTATTTTATTGGCACGTGCACACATGCCCAGCATCCCATCATGTTTTTTTGTTTTGTTTTGTTTTGTTTTGTTTTGCAGTCTGAAAACAGCCACTGTTTATTTACTGACCAGATTACAAAAACAATCATGGTGGATACCTTAGTTCATCCTTCTAATAAGTCTGTTGATCTGGTCTTCCCCGTTGCCAGCATCTCCACCTTTTACAAAATGGATGGTCTTTTTCTTCATTCTATCCCGTGGAGAAGATAATTTGAAGGGCCAAAGGAAGTTATTTGCTTCTTTGAAGTGTTTTCCAACAGTATAGATTTTATGAATCAGATCCTCCATGCATATGATGCCAAATTTACCAAGAGATCGTGCAAAGAGTTATCTGTCAAAGCAATTCGCTTCTTATTGATTTTTGCCGTAACCACGTTTGTAGATCAGTTCATTTACTGACTTCAGGTTTGGGTACCCCCATGCAATATATGGTTCCACAATTCTCAGCATGTTAATTGAGGCCTTGTTGAGTTTAACAAAGGTGCCATTGAAGATCTGGCGAAGACGAAGAAGCTGCAACACCTTTCGAACCTTTGGGCTCACTCCATTGATACCTCTGATCCTGATGACAAACGCCAATTTGGGTTCTGCAGGTACATAGAAGTTACCAGCTTTTCTTGCCATCCTGGCCATGCGAATCTCAGTTCTGTACATCTGTCTATATTCCTTATGATAGTGCTTAGCTTTTTCATAGATAAGCTTTCTCCTTGCCTTTCGAAGCATCTTTTGAGCAAACTTCTTTCTCAGGCGCTTGATCTTCAACTCCGCAAAATTCCTTCGCTCAGCAGGAACCTTCTTTTTCTTCTCTTGAACGCCCTCCATGGTTCCAGCCGGAAAAGAGGCCCCAGAATGTTTTTCAAGTTTCTGGGCCTGGGACTTAAACTGCACTATTGATCATGTGGGATTCAAATGCTTTTTTTTTTTTACCACTAGACCATGGGCTGGCCTAATCCTTGAAGTTTTCTAACAAGATTTCTGAATTTTCTTTTTTTCTTTTTCCCTTTTTTATTGTATATTTGTTTAGTTGTTGTAGCTGCTGTTAGTGGTTTCAAGAATTTATTTGTATTCACTTTTTGCTAATCTCAATAAAAACCTAGATTGTCCTGATTCACATCACTTTTTTTTTACTTTTTAAAAAAGTTTTATTATTTTTTATATTTTTAATCACATGTGTCTTTACAGTGCATAACATTTCTTTTTTCCAGCACTATTACCATGCATATCAGTCAAGACAAAGACATTACCATCCATATCTTCTTCATCAAGGAACTTTTTATTTTTTCTTCAAATTATTATTATTATTTATTCTCATTATTTTTAAACCTTCAATCACTATACATCATTTGGCTTGTAAAAAGAATTTATCTAACACGAAATACTTCTCAGATCAGTCCATTTGAGAATAGTATACACGTTATCAATAGGTTAGTAAACCATTTCTGTGTCCCACAAATATCATGCCTCTCTGTTTTAATGCCCTTCTCTATACTCTTCCTTTCTCCCCACTCCTTATTTCACACTGCCTTTAGCATCCATAACTATCTTCACTGGTTTTATGCCCTCCAATATTTCAATTTCTACCATAGAGTACGGAGATTTGGTATATATTAAATGGATACGTATAATATCTTTCCTTCATAGCCTGACTTGCTTCATTCAGCAATAAATCTTCCATATTTGACCACTTTCTATCAAATACCAGAGACTTATTGTATTTTAAGGCTGCATAGTATTCCATAGAGTTTATGTGCCACACTTTTTCAATCCATTCATCTGTTTGTGGACATTTGGGTTGGTTCCATGTCTTAGCAATTATGAATAATGCTGCAATAAACATTTATGTGCAAGCACTTTTCAGACTTAGCATTCTCTTATCCTTTGGGTAGATACCCAGAAGTGGGATAGCTGGATCAAATGGTAGTTCTATTTGTAGATCTTTGAGGAGCCTCCATATTGTTTTCTACAGTGGCTGGACCAATTTACATTCCCACCAATAGTGTGGGAGAGTTCCCTTTTCACCATAACCCTGCCAGCACTTATCATTTTTGTAATTTTTAATCTTCGCCATTCTGACTGGGGCTAGGTGGTATCTCATTGC